GAGTAGAACTGTAGAAGCCGAAATTTTGGAGCTGAAAACTATGTTTTCTTGTTCTTATGTAAATGTTGCTGCTCTATCCCTTCTTATATAGGGTTGAAGGAGTGAATAGCTCCATTATGACATTTAAAAATGACATAAAGCCAAATTTTTGTAACACCTGAAACAACAGCCCACTAACTGAGATTAAATTCAAAATTTAAAATTGGAATTAATGCAAAATTAATTCCGTAATGGATGAATTTAATCTCACAACAGTCCAGAATGATTTTGGTTGGCCGAGCCAACAAATGGCTCGTGGTGTTTCAGCTCTCGTGCTCCAGTTTTGGCCTCCTAAGGCTGAGCCATGAGCACGAGAGTTCAGTTCGGCCCTAGGCCGAACTCGCTTGCTGGCTCCAGTCAGATTCGGCATCATAAGACCGAACCATCAGCACCGAGAGTGAACTCTCGTGCTGGTCAGATTCGAATCTAGTGGCTGTGTTTGAAAATGATACCGAAGTTTGGCATAACTTAGCCCGCAAGGCTTGCCAATTTCCGTTCCGAACGACATTCGTGACCGTAGGTGCCGGTGTACACGACTTCTAGTGGCTCTGTTGGAAAATGATACCGAAGTTTGGCATAACTTAACCGAGTAAACTCTCGGTTCTGGCTCCAGTTAGATTCAACCTTATACGTGCCGGCAGGTGCCGAAGTGCCCACGAGTTCAAGATTGCACCACCTTGTGCGCGAAAGAAAGCCTTTATGCTATACAATTCAATAAGCTTTAGAAGAGCTCTTGTATAAATAGTGGCGCAAATCCACTTCCCAAACCAATGTGGGACAAAAGCTACTCCCAAGCTTTTTCCCTTCACTTTTCCAACTCAAATGGGTCTACTTTGAGAATCAATATCTCATTCACCCATTATCCGTTTTGAGTGTACAATATATCAGTCTCTTCGTCTCACTACGAAGAACCCGAATCCACTTTGACCCGACCCAAATCGGAAGTGGACTCCACTAATAATTGTACCACAAAATAGCCACTTAATATGCCATTTTAAGCTATTTTCTAACACTTTTAACATTTGTAGCAACATATCAAATGATTCATTACTCCATCGACAATGCTCTTGATATATAGCAATTTGACAATGATAGATAACTTAGAGGTATCACAACCTGGGTAAACCGGTTGCTCAAAGTCCTTTAACAGCCTGTAAAATGCATTTGCTTCCTCATTTGGTTCCTCTCTATGCTCAATATGACTTGAAGTACCAATATTAGACCCACCCTTACCAAAGTTATAATAATCAGGATATACATCTTGTAATAATTCATGAATCTCCTCATCATTTTCACTTTCTTCTTCTTCTTCTTCTTCTTCTTCTTCTTCTTCTTCTTCTTCTTCTTCTTCATTATCAGATTGTGGTTCACCACGCCTTTCACCATGGTGTACCAGAATGTATAATTTGGCAAAATTCCATACACATATAGATGCATTTCAACCACTTCACGAGATCTATAACCACTATTCTTACACTTGACACATAGACATCGTATTTTATGCTCTTCACCAATCTTGAGAAATGCATAATTCAGAAATTTTTTAACACCAACTTTATATTGTTCATTCAACCGATCATTGAAAACACTCATCAATTTCTTGCTAGGTGCCATTATAAATAGAATAATGGAAGTTTTATAGCAAAAATTGAAACCTAAATTTAATATAAATGATATTTTATTAACTATAAAATTATATATATATATATATATATATATATATATATATATATATATATATATATATATATATATATATATATATATATAAAGTATTCTAAAAAAATAATGTAATATATCCAAATCTACATGATTTTCAAGAATTAAATTGTCTTCTTTTATATACCTTTCTTCAACCAAATTCCCATGAATTAGTTTTTTTTTTTTCAAGATACATACAAGAAAACAAAGAACTTTATGATTTAATTAAAAATTAAATTATATGTTCCTAAATATATAATGCATAATTACAATTTAGAAAATTCCTCATAAAATTCACCCAAAACTAGAATATCCTCAAAGAGAAAACAAAGCCCACGTACATTCAAACTAGATAAATTCTGTTTCATTCAAGCATATCATAGAGAGTAAGGAGAGAGTACTTATTTACCGACCAAAACGAAATGAAAGATTCAAAGGCGAGTTGCTATAGTATATTCTCACATATGCACTAAACACTAAATCTTGTCATGGCTAACACTAACAATTTCTCTGTATTTTGTTTAATTTGTCATAGTTAACAATTTAACACTAACAAGAAAAACTAATGTGATTAAAAATATAAGTTTAACCAAATTTCTAGTAGTGTTGCTTTTGTATAACTAAAGGTTCCCATCACCTTTACACTCTCCTCACACACTTCAATGAGATCAAAGTGCACATTTAGAAGTTGAACCAAATAATTACTAGTATTATAAAATTTATCAATTGCTTAAGAATGTCAGTGTACTATTGTTATGGTAAAAGTATAAAAACTCAATCTCATAAAACATCAGCATAATCTAGTGATCATCCAGTAAGATCTTTTAATACTTGTACAGAATAAATAATTTATAGAAAGTCAACTTAAATATACAGATAAATACATTTACCGATACAATTCATAAAGATTTGTATATACAAATCTAAATAATAACCAGTGCTACATATTTAGATCAAGATAGTCAAAAATTATAAATCAAAACACAAATATCAATTTACCCAACCGAAACAGATAAAAAATTTCAAAAAAAAATTAGTGAAATTGAAAACTAACACTTTATAATAATGCTATTTTTTCCTTGTTGGCTGGGCTATAGGGTTCTCAAAGGTTTTCTCAATAGCAAGAACCTTACTAGAGTTTTGGTAATAGGAAAAGCTCTATGGACTATTAGCTATAGCCCTACCATGTAAGATAGAAATCTAGCCCAAAGGTACATCTCTTTTTCTTCCGAACCTACAATCTAGTTCGAATTCTGAAGAAAAGATATCTCTTAGCGTCAACCTATAGCCAGTCCAGTATGAAATCCAAAGGCCTATGAGACTCTTAATTTGTATGGGTTTAAGCACAAAGGCTTTTTGAGCCCTAACATCAAGATAATAGAGAAATACTGCAAAAAAAAAAAAAAAAAAAAAAAAAAAAAAAAAAAAAAAACCTAAGAAATTACCTTGTGACTATTTGGTGATGATATTTGAGAAAACTCACAATGACTTATTGGTGAAGTGAAGGGAAGTAGAGAGTGAAGAGAATAGAGAGATAGGGAGATATTGTACAGAGATGGTGAGTGCTAGTGAGATGCAAGTAGGTGGAAAGAGAAGAGAACTAGATTACTAGAAGAAGGTGTCTGGTGGCTGTAAATTATATTTAGTAAAATAATTAGATTTTAGAGGGAAGAGATGTAAGGCGCTAATAAAAAAAGTTTTGGTGGGAACAATTTTTGACTAAAACAATTTTCATGCATCAATAGCGAGAGTAACAAAATTTTTCATACCAATAACGAGAGTATAATTTAAAATTAAATATAAAATCAAAATTTAATCAAAAATCTTTAGCTATAGTAATTTTTAACCCTCACAAAAAAATATGTAAATAACACATTTAGTGAGGGGTTTCTCTAGCTGTCACTAATTTTTGTCTTTTTTTTTTTTTTTTTTGGCTTAAGTGTCAATCCGCACCATGAACTATAAGCGATTATTCATCCCGGACCCTGAACTTTTATAAGTGCTGATTCGATACACAAACCAATTTTTTTTCCATCTAGCCTTTTTTTATAGGTTGCAATCAGGTAGCCTTTACAAGTTGCTGATGTGGAGGTGCTTAGGCGTTGACGTGGAGAATTATTTGAGGTGGCAGCCATTTCATCAATTGGTTTTCAAATAACCCCTAAATTGACAATTGAAATCAAACCCTAAATTAACTAAGAACGCAAAGTGAAATAGCGGAGGAAGTAGCAGGAGAGTAAACCCAATCGAAAATCCCAAAAATCCGACGAATAGACGACATCCCTACATCCCAGAAGAGTCGACGGTGAACAAAAAGAACACTGGGCGACATCCCTACATCCCAGAAGAGTGCACGGTGAAGGAAAAGAACACTGGGCGACATCCCTACATCCCTCTGCAGTGGACGAGTAAGGTATTCAAATTTATTTATGTATATGTAGATTGTAGAACAATGCAAATGCTCCTAGTGTAGGGATTTCTTATGAAAGCATCATCCACTTTCACCCTCTGCCCAGTGTAATATTTGAACAATGTATATGCGAATGGTTATAGTAAGGTGGGGTACACTGTGCTTTGAATATGATGTGGTGTGGTCTTGATACACTGTGCTTTTGCTTTTATTTTGTATTGGATAGTTGCTTTGTGTATAAATATGTATAAACGTGGGGTACACTGTGCTTTTAAAGGTGGGGTACAATGCTTCTTTGTGTATAAATGTGCATTGAATTTCTGACAGCAGCTTTGTGCTTTGTGTACTGCATTTTTGTTTGAATATGCTTATATAAAGTGTGGTCCTGCATTTCATTATTCTTGTTTTTGACATTTGCTTTGTCTATAAATGATTAAATGTGCATTGAATTTCTGACAGTACTTTGTGCTTTGTGTTTAAATTTGTGCCTTTAATTTTTTGTTTGTGTCAGGATGAATGAAAGAGTAGAATTAATTATTCATCATGGTGGTAATTTTGTGCAAAAACCTAGGTTCAAGTATTTGAATGGTGAGACAGCAGTAGTGGATGTGGACCCTGACTTAATATGTTATCCCCACTTAGTGAAGTATATAGCAGACCAAAGGTATGGGAAAATAGCCTCACTGACATATAAGTTGACCAATGAACCCTTTACAACTTTAAAACTACTTCATAATGATGCTAGTAGTCTCCACTTTATTACAATGATAAGTACACTAAGTACAATCCTAAATCGGATCCACCCTTTATTGAAATAGGTATGTACTTTGATGACAATGTGCAATTCAAGATGGCTATGATTAGTTATGTTGTACACACAAAGAGGGATCTATTTTGGAAAAAGAATGGTTTAAAGTATGTTAGGGTTGAGTGTCTTGGAAAGGGTTGTGATTTTCATGTTAGTGCAGGGTGGGAAGAAAGAACAAGGTGTTTTCAGGTGAAGGCAATCTTGTTGGAACATAAATGCAATAATCAATTTACCTTAGGGATAGTTAGTCAGAAATGGTTGGAATGGAAATTTGAAGAAAAGGTGAGGCAAAATCCAACTATTGGTTATTCAGAGTTGAGCAAAGACATAAAATCTGAAATGAACTTGAATGTTACTGTTAGTATGTGTAGAAGGGCAATAACAGGGATATTGAAGAACTTGGATATTGGGTATGAAAGTCAGTTCAAAAGACTTAGGGATTATGCTCAAGAGTGCTTGAATTCAAATTTGGGTTCCACAGTGAAGATACATACAACCAGCACAGTGGAAAACTCACCATTGGTGTTTCAGAGGATATATGTGTGTTTTAATGCCATGAAGAAGGGTTTTGTAGAGGGTTGCAGGAGGTTTATTGGACTAGATGGATGTTTTTTAAAAGGAAAACTGAAGGGTGAAATACTGACTGCTGTGGGTAGAGATGAGAACAATCAAATGTACCCAATTGCTTGGGTTGTAGTAGAGATTGAAAATAACTCATCATGGAAATGGTTTCTGGAACTTTTAAAGTCAGATTTGGGAATTCTGGATAACACTCAATGGACCTTAATGAGTGATCAACAGAAGGTAAATCCACTTGAATTGTTTACTTAATTAAATATGTTATTAGTTTACAGAAATTGTCAAAGAACATATTGTTATTTAATTAACTTGAATTTTATTGCGCAGGGGTTAGCTAATGTCATACAGGAGCTATTTCCTGGAGTTGAGCATAGAAATTGTGCAAGGCATGTCCATGCCAACTGGAGTAAGAATCACAGAGGGAAGGTACTGAAGGCTCACTTTTGGCAGATTGCAAAGACACCTACTCAAGAACTACTTGCAGAGAAGTTGAAAGCTTTGGAAAAGGTTGATGCTACAGCACTTCATGATCTTAACAAGTATCCAATGCAGTTCTGGTGCAAAGCATTCTTCAAAGAAGAAGTTAAATGTGACTTGGTGGACAACAATCTTAGTGAGGCAAGGTCCAAAAACATTATTCCAATGCTAGAAGATATAAGACTTTTTGTGATGAAGAGGGTTGCAAAGAAGAAAGCATTTGCTGAAAGATGGAATGGGACTTATGGGCCATGTGTGATGAAGAAATTGAATGAGAACATACTTGGCAGTGCTAGTTGGGAGGTTATCTACAATGGAGCTGATGGATATGAGGTTAAAAAGGGTAGATTCCAATTTAAGATCAATTTAGAGTTGAAGACATGTTCTTGTAGACTATGACAGTTGACTGGTTTGTCATGTTCTCATTCCATTTGTGCTATATTTCACAAGGGGCATCAGCCAGATTAGTACATCTATCAATGTTACAGTAATGACATGTACTTGAAGACTTATGAGCATGCAATAGAGCCAATGAATGGAGAAATGTTTTGGCCAAGAACTCAAGGAGATGAGATACATGCCCCAGTGCCAAGGAAGATGACTGGTAGGCCCAAGAAAAAAAGAAATCTTGAAGATGATGAAAAAAACAAGGATAAAAACATATTGAGTTTACAGGTTAGAAAGCTATCAAGGAAAGGAAGAATAATGACCTGTCAACTGTGCAAGGGGAAGGGGCATAACCAGAGATTTTGTCCTACCCAACAAGGACAATCTGGTACTTCTACTGGTGTTAGAGGAAGAGGAAGGGCTCCTACTGGTGTTAGAGGAAGAGGAAGGTCAGCTACAAGGATAATATTAACTCAAGAAAGCACTCTTGGGACCTCAGGTAATTAGATTAAGCTAACAATATCTATAGTGGTTCTAGGACTGTTGGATTATGATAATAAAGTTTCATTAATGTTTGTAGATTGCACACAACATTGAAGAGTTAGAAGATGGTTGGATGAAGGGTTACAGTACAAGACTTTTTGGGAGCACTATTTCCAGCATTTGGCTACTGTTAATTGGCAGCAATTGGCTACACTTTTTGTGCATGTATATTGGCAGCCCTGTTAATGTACTCTAGGAAGTTTGGATATTTAGTTTTGGCTACTGAATTTATGTGCTAATGTTTTGGCACTGTCTAAGGTGAATGCAAACTGAAATTGGCAGTGAAGTTTAATATGTATTTTGACAATGTCTTAAGGTTAATGCAAACTGATTTTAGCAATTTTTGTTTCAAGTTTATGCATGTGGTTTATGTTGATTCTGGAATATGTATGTGGTTTATGTTGATTCTGGAAAATTGGGACTAAGTAGCCAATTATCATTCTGCAACACTAAATGATCTGTCATTCTGATCTGCAACACTAAATTGGGGTTTCAGTAGCCATTCTGATCTGCCAATAAATGATCTGCAACTCTAAATTGGGGTTGCAGTAGCCATTCTGATCTGCCAGTAGCCAAAATTGGGGCTCAGTGGCCAATTAAATTAAATAGCCAAAATTAAATGCAAACTGGATTTCATTCTGTAACACTAAATATTTCATTCTTCAACACTAAATGCAAAAAGCAAAATGTAACATGGAATCTCAAACTACAAACTGGTCATTTTCATTACAAGGTCAAAAAACGATTACAATTTCTGACTACAAATTTTGGATACAAGCACCACAATAACAATTAACAGAACAGCATAGCCCCTCCTCAACACTTCATTTTGTTTTTTCATAGTACTGTTGTGACACCCCGTAATCCAAATTCAATTAAGGGATTAATTGAGTAATTAATCCTAATCCAATTGATAATTTAATCCCTTAAATTCCTGAAAATTCAATAGTCGGGGACTAGTATTGACTAGTCAACCCAAAGTCAAGTGTTGTACCTAAAGCTTTGTGAATTGTTCCCTTGTTCCCTTACACCTCTTCATTTTAGTAAGGGTAAATTGGACATTTCATTTGTGATTGCATTCCAAGCTAACCTAGAAGATATCTTTCATTTCTATCCTTACACTTTCAAAGCAAAGAGCTCTTTCTTCTCTCTAAAAACCTAACTAGCTTTCTCTCCAAGCTAAGTTTAGACTTTCCAAGATCTTCAAAGTTTGTCTCCAAGATTCCACCTTTCCTACCTTTGAGCATCTAGGAGGGTAAGATCTATGTTTCTTTTGTGTTTTTAGTATTTTCTAAGGTGTCTTTTCTTAAAGGTGAAATCTTTATGATCTTTTGGTGTGTTCTTGAAGTGGGTGTGGAAGGTGAACCTTGTTAGGGGCTTTGAGAAGTGTTAAGTGAAGGCTTTTGTCTACAAGAGGTAACCCATGCTCTACAAAATCTATTTTGCTTACCTATATGATGATTTATTGGATTCTACATGTGATTTTGCTATGAAATGTGAGTGTTGATGCATTGTCTTGTGAAAATGCATATCTAGAGCTTGTTATTAGGGTTCATGTATGCCATTGTTTGGCTATTCCTTTGGTTCAAGTCATTTTGTTGTATTTGGTGAGATTTGGCATGTTTTGGACTTGAATTTGAGCTTGGAGTTGAAAATCTCCGAAGGGATTATTTGGTACAGGGTTGTGTACCCGCGGGCGGAACGGCGGGTAGGGGTTCACCCGCCGCCCCACCCGCGGGGTACGTGGGTTGTGGAACTTGGTTCCCGCGGGCAGAACCACGGGTGGGGGTCCACCCGTGGGCCCACCGGCGGGGTATATATGTGGCTTGTGAGGGGATTTGTTCCCCGTGATTCTTTTGACTCGGTAATTGATGTTTTGACTTCCCGATGTTCTTTTGTTGGGCTTTTGAGTGTCTTCTTAATGTTTCGTATGTCTAGAACTATATGGTAGGATTCCATGTAGGTTTTGGTGTCTTGAATCGTGCTAAGTGTTCAACCTTGTGATTCGTTGAACCATGATGAGTCTTGTGTGTTCTTCGGAACTGCTTTCGGTTTACCCGTTTGATAAGCATGCTAGTTCGGTGTTTAAATGCTAGTGTGCATGTTGTTTGTCCCTTCCTATTGTGGATGATGACTTGTGTTAATCATCGTTGTTGTCGGATTGTGATCCATTCCTTGATTGATTATGGTTTCATATCTTCGTTGTGATCCGTTGATTGATTCCTATTGTGGTGTGGTGTGTGTGGCTGTACCTGGATTGCACAATTAATGGTGATTCGAACCTGGTTTGCCCGATCTTCTCTTCACACTATGACTAAAATAATCTTTCAGAACAGTTTTTTAGGCTAGGTGAAATCTGATTAAAAGGTTTAATTTAGGCTGGGTATAAGGGTTTGTTTTTGTGGTTTTTGATAAGTCCTCGGCCACACTGGGTTATAAGGTGATACGTAGGATTTGGAATGACGCCACAAGTGAGGTTTCACACTTGATAAGTCAGGATCACCATGACTTGATCATGGTTGAACTCTCCCGAGTTCTAGAAAACACTCAGTTTCCTATCTCAAAAATTCTCAACTCTATATTTCATTTAGAATGCAATGACCTTAAATAGCCATTAACAACCAAATTACAACCACATGAATAGGATAGTTATTAAGAATAGGATAAACTAATCCTGACCAACCAACTAAGATAAACATTAATAATAATATAATACTAACAAATTTAAATCTAAGATAATTTTAAGATAATCATCCTAATTAAATAATAAAACTAATTCTAAAATATTCTAATATTCTAACAATCAATTGTTGATTCCCGTGCCCACAACAAAAGGTATGGGACATTAGTCACCAAGGTACGACAGTGGTCCTCGTGGTGGCCATGACGTGATTATGGAGGATGTGACCCGAGTGATGGATTCACGTGTTCTGGAGAGGCATGTGTGCCATGTGCGTGATTTGTACCCTCGTGTACTGTGAATTGGTGGAATTTCGTTGGTGGTTTGTTGGTGGATGGGGACGAGGGTCCTCGGAGGGAAAAGGTTGGACTTGGTGTACAGGGGTCCTGGAGGTAAATGTTGTATAGGTGGGGGGTAGCCATAAGGTTGAAACCGGGCATAAGGAAGTCATCTCAATTCGTGATGGGTGATGTCACGAAGGCATGTGTTGCCATTGTTGTGTATTTCTCTATTTGTGACATGTGTTGTCATAAAGGCATGTGTTGCCAATGGTTGTGTCCTTATTCTCTTGTGTTATGCATGTCGGGTGTTATTCTACTAAGTGATGGTAGAATACGCCTTGAGCCGTTCTTATGAGTCGTTATTGCTTCTTGATGTCTTGGGATGTGTTCCCTTATCTTTGTTGTGAGTGCATAAAGTCTTGTATTTGACTTCTACTCTTGGCTTTGAACTTATATATATACTATATCCCGTTTCGCAAATGATTTTGTATATATATATATATATATATATATATATATATATATATATATATATATATATATATATATATATATATATATATATCCTATCTATGTATGATATTTCACATGTATTGGTGGGTTACCAGCATCATTCGCTGACCGGGCGTCGTCCCATATATTTATGTGTTTCTTTCAGGTGCTGAGTAGAGGCGAGTGCGGTCTAGAGACAGATAGTATAGATCCCTCGAACCTTGTAATGGTTTTGGTCTGTGTGCCTTTGTTAGACTTTAGACTTGTTGTCGTTGGCTTTGTTCTTGGATAGACAGATTATGTTGATGTGGTTTACGCCTGTGTGTTCACCGTTGTGTGGGCGTGGCATAACACTCTACGTTTTCCATCTATTTCATATTTAGTCTTCCGTTGTGTCTGCTTTTATGGTTAGATTATCTGCATGATTAAGCTTTAAATTAGTATGGAAATCGGGGGTGTTACAACTATAGTCATTAACAATTAGTTCTCTCACACTTTCAATTTCACACTTCAAAGACACCAACAACTTCTTTAGGTCTTCTTGCTCACTTTCGCCCCTCCTTGCACTGTGATCCTTCCAAAGGAAAAAGCCACAACTATTTCCATCCTATAAAACTCAATTACAATATATGTATATATATATATATATATATATATATATATATATATATATATATATATATATATATATATATTACAAATAAAAAACAAAAAAAAAAAAAGCGAAAAAATTCCAGAAAATGAACAAACCCTAAATTTAATTTTAAAGAAATTGAAAACTCAAATTCAAAATTCATAAATCCATACCTTCCATCTTTGACATCCGAAGAATTACTTTCCCGAGTCTCTACTTGTGCAAATAGGAGCTTTCAACCCACAATTACAATAAACACTAGGCTCGTACTCCATGTTTACTCTCATTCGTAATGAATTCGAGGAAGATGACATCTTGTACCCTTAGTGCGTCGTCGGAATTGGTTGTGCGTCGTCGGAATTGGTTGTGCGTTGTCGTCAAAATTGCTTTGCGAAAGGGAGAAGGGAGAGCAGTGGAGTGGGTCGTGCACAATTTGTGAAATGGAGAAGGGAATAGAATATTAATACTTAAAATTAGGAGGATATATTACAACTAGGCGCCACATAAGCTTATAACCGGGAACATATCATTAGGTTTACCGGACAACCTGTAAAAAAGGCTAGATGGAAAAAAAAAAATTGATTCGTGTATCGAATCAGCACTTATAAAAGTTCAGGGTGCGGGATGAATAATCGCTTATAGTTCGTGGTGCGGATTGACACTTGAGCCTTTTTTTTTGAATGCTACTGACTCTATTACATTGTAGTATATGGCTCGATCTCATAACCTTTCACATGGGAGAGGTCATTACATGCCATTTGAGCACAAGGTGCTTGGCTCGGAATACTATTTCTAAAAATAAAAGAATTATTAAACAATGACATATACCTATTCCGGGATGTTATTCCATTTTCCACCAATTTCATAAATCAAATATGCTTTGATTGTCAAAATGCAAAATGTGATGAACTATAGAAATTAGAAAGTAAAATATCACTAGTGTAGTGTGAAAATTATGTTTAAAATGAACAAATTCCTTTTGCGTATTAATATTGGGAGAAGTAGAAAGTAAAATACTCCGTATCAATTTTAAAAGAGTTTTTTTTTCCAAAATGGTCCCTCGACTATCGCTTATTCACAATTTTGCATTTCGACTTTTAATTGCACCCAATGTGGTCCCTTGACTTTGAAAAACTCCTCCAAATTGGTTCTCCGTTAGAAATTCCATCTATTGAGTGTTAAAATGAAGGGCATTTTCGTTCATTCACCTATTATATGCCTAATATACTCTGAAAAATAATCGAGAGACCATTTTGGGAATAGTCAAGGGATCATTTTGAGAAAAACCCATTTATTTATTTCTATTTTTTAACACTATCAAATTAGAATTTCTATACATTTTTTTCTTACAAATATAAATAGTTAAAATCCACAATCAAATCTCAAAATTGTAAACGTTCTCTACAATTCTTTTTTTCCTTTTGTCTAAACGTACAAATTTTTCCCCTATCCCTATCAAGTTTTACAATAAATTTCGCAACATATATATATATATATATATATATATATATATATATATATATATATATATATATATATATATATATATATATATATAAAAAATCATATAATCATATTAAAACTTCAAAAGACAATCAATCACTATGTATTACATTAAATATTATTTTTATAGTTAAAATAAAATTATTATTTTTTTACGTACTATGGTAAACAAGTTTAAGTTTCAAATTTAAGTTTATTAACATTCATATTTCATATATAAAATACAAACAAACTTCAAAATGACAAGAACTTGTAATATTGGTAAATGATGAGACTTTAGGTTTAGAATTGTTTGTTTTGTGCTAATTATTTTTGCATTTGGTTTATTTTACTTGTCCTTTAAGACATAAAATTGATAGCCATAGTTCTAGACTCTCTTTAGCATGATGTACTTCTGGGTAGATAGGCATTTGGAAATGGTAGCTATGGTTTGTACTAACTTTGGAATGAAACTAATGGCCTTACAGGCTAAGTTAAGCCAACTTTCCAAAAATATTTTCTAAAATTTTGTCATTGACCGAGAAGTGACGCGTACTTCTCAGTTCGAAGAAGTGCCAGAGCATAGCGATTGATTGTAAAAATAATAATTTTATTTTCAAAATAATAATTTTGACCGAGAAGTGACGCGTACTTCTCAGTTCGAAGAAGTGCCAGAGCATAGCGATTGATTGTAAAAATAATAATTTTATTTTCAAAAGGCATTGTGACCGAGAAGTGAAGAGTACATTTTGGGTGTCTAAACAGATAAAAATAGTAATGTTATTTTCAATGGTAAAAATAATATTTAATATGATACATAGTGATTGATTGTCTATTGAAGTTTTAGTATGTGTGTGTGTGTGAACATAAAAAGTATATGAGTATTATATTTTTGAAATTTACAGAACTTATTGTAAAACTTGATAGGCTTAGAGGAAAAGTTTGTATGTTTAGACAGAAGGAACAAATTTGTATAGAAAGTTTAAAATTTTGAGGTTTGATTGTGGATTTTAACTATCTATATTTGTAAAAAAAAAAAAAAAAAAAGTATAGAAACTCTAATTTGATAGTCTTACAAAAATGGAAATAAACAAAAATGAAATAAATAAATGAGTTTTTCTCAAAATGATCCCTCGACTATTCCCAAAATGGTCCCTTGACTATTTTCAGAGTATATTAGGCATATAATAGGTAAATGGACGAAAATGCCCTTCATTTTAACACTCAATAGACGAAATTTCTAACGGAGGACCAATTTGGGAGAGTTTTTAAAAGTCAAGGGACCACATTAGGTGCAATTAAAAGTCGAAATGCAAAATTGAGAATGAGCAATAGTCGAGGGACCATTTTGGAAAAAACTCATTTTAAAACGACAGAACACAACCGTTCTTCAAATTCTCGATTTTACCACCACAATCCTCGATTTTGTACTTCGACCCTTCTGAGTGTCAGCGAGTGCGAAGCGCGGGAAATTTGAACTTCACACCTCTACTCGAGAGAGTGAGTGAGAGAGACTATGGACGATTCAGGTGCGATTCTCTGTCAGATCTCTCAGCTCAAGGATATGCTTGACAAGGTACCTCTATATATAAACATATGTATGTATGAATATATATAGGATGTCAGGGAATTTGGTTGAATTTGCCGTTTTCAGGTGAACGAGGAAATCGAGGCGAACATTCAGATCACCAGAGAAATCGAATCGGAACTCGTCAAGTGTACGGAAACCGAGGTCGGATTGCTGGCTCGAGAATCGGAGCTGATGAAAGCATCGTACACGCTACAGTTCGAAATTAACGGCTTGATGGCAGCCACTGGTAATAAAACCGTGAAATTAAGACAATAGAATTTTGATTCCTCTGAAATCAGTGTACATTTAACTGGAAATTTCTTTTTCTTTTTTCTTTTTTCTTTCATCAATTCGTGATAAGAAATCAAGTTGAACTAAAATGGAATAATCATTTTGACAGAGGAGCTAGAATAATTGGAACAGTAACAATAAATGCAATAATTCACTTCCATAATATCGTTTTTCACATTCCCTTGTCTATAACTCATTCATGAATGGCCTTTCTATAATATTGAATAGGATCAATATCAATGTATCACCGAGTATTTTTTTTTTCTAATAAAATAAATTTTAAAATTTTTTTGGGGTATCTTTTCTTGTATGATAATTTTGTTTTGACCTAAAATTTGAAATTGTTGGTTTGTAAGTATATGTTTGATATATTTTAATAACATTTTAGATTTATTCTTATATGTGATTGTTCTCTATACTGTAGTGCTCTCAATTCTTCTCTTTTCTGTTCTAGCTGATTCAGAAACATCGTGCAAATCCTTGGAGGAAGAGTTACAGTGTCTAGAAAGGAAGAGGGATGAGATACTGACTCGAATGAACAGCAAACGGTACTGATCATAACTCTTTGAATTCTGTATTGATAATAATATAGCTGAAAACAAATTTTTGCAATAAGAAATCTGGAAATTTCACATTAAACATCGTTTAGGCAAAAGAGAAAGGCTAATGGCTTTTAGGATCATTGTTAACATTCCATTTTAAGTATTTTCGTCGTGGGAAAAATATATATTTTCTTTTAACAGATTCCTCTTTAGTTAAGCTTAGACTGACGAATATCACTACTAATGTGTGTTTATAATCAGGCTAGATTGATTTATGATGATCTACAGACTTCAGTGTGTTTCAAATGAGAAATACAGTGTGATTCTTGTTCAAAGAAATTTCCATGTTTTGAGTTGCACAGCAAGAATTAAATACAGTGTATATGGTCCTTAACATGTCCTACCTGGAGAATTAATTTTTTCTTGTTAATATTTTTAGTTTAAGTTCCAATATGAAAATCAAATTTATGAATAACTAAGATTGTTACAGTTATAAATAAAACCTGAGTGTTGTCCTTGAAGTCAAGAACTATGATGCTTTCTCATAAAAATAATACTTCCAAAACCAAAGTAGGCAAAAGCAATTAATTATTCTTGTACAGGGAAGGATTCCTGAGATCTTGCTTGGATTTTCAAAATAACATTGGTAAAAAAGGTAACGATGAAGTTGCAGCTTTGCTCGTGGAGAAAGAGCTTCTAGAAAATGAAGTTCATTCCTTAAACAACAGAAATACTGTTCTACAGAACTCAACAGCTGCATTTGTGGAAGAGGTTCTTGAAGATCTTCATAATTCTATCTATGGTACTTTGCTACTACCAAAATCATCATATTACTTTTCCTTCCATTTGTGGAATAACATGTACTAGCAAGGTCAAGATATTGAGTGGCTTATTTGCTATTGAGCACTCGTTTCCTTTTCCTGAAAAAAGTATTTTGGTAGTCTCATTTTTGTATAGTTCTGTTTTTTTTTCTTTTGCTTTTTAAAATTTTTATTATTGCAGACGCTTTGATATTTTACTATTCTTTACCATCATCTGGTGCTTTTCATGAGAAGAAAAAAAATTTGGAAGGTTATTTGCTAGTAAAAATCTTCTTTTGGTCATGACTGTATCCTATTGTGATTAAGCTCCTATGTTTTTGAGCATATTCTGAATGTACCATGGACAATGTGGATAAGCTCAATAACTTAGCTATAGATTAGTGTAAGGTTAAGGCAGAGTGTACAATGTAAGGAGTAAGTCTTGAGTAAATCTTAAGGTTTGCTGTACTATGGAAGTTTTAGTACCTGGCAAAGTCTGGGAAATTCATTTAGAGTAATTCATGGTATGATTTATGTATGTATGGCTATTTTAACCTTTGCGCTTGCTCTTTTCCTTCATTCTTTTCCTAGATTACTTCAAATGCTTTTTCTATATTTTATGCTGCTCTTAGTTCTTTCTAAGTGTATTACATTGCTATCCTTAATTTGGTTTTGAATATAGAACTAGATGAGACATTCTGTTGGTTGTTGGTATTTTCTGAAGCTTTGAACTTATTTTATTGAATATACAACAATAAAAACATTTACTGAAAACTTTTGCCAATTCTAAATTGTAACTTATTGTGAAATGCAGCTCTAGACGTTGACATAAGAATTCGAAATATTGAGAATGAGAAATTGATGAAGGATATTGATGAATTGAAGAAGACATTACTTTCAACTATGTCTATTGGATAAAATTTATGGTAAGTCTGTACACTTTTAATTTTGAATGGCATTTCCCAATGGGTGTGTTATGATTAATTTTAATTAATATATTTTGATGATGCTAATTAAAATGTCTTAAGAAGTTAGATTCCCAAAATTAGTGTTGAAACACAAAAGTTGTGTCCGTAGAAATATGTCTATTGAGTTGTGTCTGTAGGATTGTGTCCATTGAGTCTGTATATATTTGCTTGTTGTCTCTCCATTGAGTCTGTATATATTTGCTTGTTGTCTCTCCAGTTAGTAAAATTCATTCTCAAAGTGAACCTTTCGGATTTTATAATTCGCAAAACTACTGAGTCTAAGAATAAAAATAATTGGGGACTAAAATTCCTAAGATATTAAGTATCATCAAAATTTAATTTACACTTGTTCCTAATAGAACGTCAAAATGCCAAAATGAATTTTGCTTTTGCTTATTAGCTTACTTGCTTCTAAATATGTGAATTTCAGTTAAACTCCTGTTATTTATTGCCTTATTGGAGATTTTATATTTATTTATACTTGCTTACTTAATTACTTTTTGACCCCCTTAAGACAAAATCCTGGCTCTGCCATTGTAGCTCTATTTTGAAAATATGCCTTTGTTGTGTTAATCCGAAGTGTGCCATTGGTTTTTATGTTTTTATTTGTATTTTTTTTAACTGAATATAACTTCAACTTGAAAACATATTACCTTGACCTAGAAAGGGTTACAAAATTAAGCCTAACAATGGCAAGGACTGCTGAACTCATGAAGGTGTATTTCCTTCCACATTATTGAGTTTGTTTGTACAAAAGCCCTCTCAGTTATGTTCATTGAACTAAGATTTCCTCTCCAGCAGTATCCTTGGTGTAGGCCATTAACATAATTGACACATGTGGAGAAGACTGTCTGAATGGATTTGACACATGGCACCATATATGAATTCTTGTGCTTTTTGAGCTCCTCCTTAGTTGTCACTCTAGCTCTCTAAGGCCTCATCAATGGGCTTTGGAGAATTCATACCCCATGTTTGATTGAATTTCTCATTCATATTTCATACATCTAATCAATGTAATTTCAAATCAATGAATTACTTGTTCATTCATAAAATGATTAACGAAAATGATATAATATTGCTGTTTTCATAGAGCAATGTTACATGTTAGCTATTCTTCACAAAACAGAACTATTTTTACAGATTAGAGAATTAGCAGAGCAACATTTAGTAGCATAATCATATTAGTGTTTCTTGCCTTCTTTGTTATCCGCCTTTGAAAATATCATAAAGTGGGTTTCAGGCCAGGACTTATTTACTATAGCAAAATTTATAGAAACAAGAACTACCTCACTGTTGTAATGAAAATTTAAAGAACTTGCATTCCAGAGTGATAGAGACAATAGAGGCAGGGTTGATGTGGAGTCTCTGGGGCAACAGTTCTAGTTAATTAGATGTGATGTAAAGTGCAATGACCAGTTGGCCACTAGGTTCTTTCTCTTTTTGTCTGGATCATCTATACTTTAGAGGCTATACTTCATTCATTAGAGTGCAATGACCAATAGGTTCTTTCTCTTTTTGTTTGGATCATCAATCCTTAGAGGCTATATTTCATTTAGAATCTGTGGATAAAAAAAATTAGTCATTTTGCTATTTTGGGATGGCAAGAGAGAATTTCCTGGTAATGATAGAACAATGAATAGATGATATGTGTTAATGCTTTACAAATAATAAGAGGATGTGGTTGAGAGGCATTTAATGAACAAAGGTTGTCTTGCTAGCTACAGACATAGACCATGTATGTCTTGTGATCTTCACATGCTCTCTAATCTTTTTGTTGCTTGTAAGTCAGGTCCTTTTCTATTACTACATGGAAAATAAAAAGTCACCATAGGACCCGCCTGCATAATTGAGTTATTTAGTGCAATTAACCTGACTTCCTTCCATTCCTAAATTTAGATGCATGATTACTTAATCATTATACTTTTGAACTAGAATAAAATCTTAATGTGCTTTCCCTGCTTCTATTTCGATATCTGTATAAATATAGTTTGCACAAAGATGTCCTGTAAAATTTACGTTTTTTTATCTGATCAACTTTGACAGTGACAAATCAATTCCACTCCAGTTTTTCTGTTACTTTGCTCCTTTAATTTGGGTTTGGCATGTAGACTTGCACTTTTCAAGTATTGCAAATAAGTTTGTTCAAGGGTAGTAGAAATGATTGTACCCGTGTTTTAAATTTGGTCCATAAATGAATTTGTTCCCTAGTATAGACAGAAGGCGAGTGTGGGGAATAAATATTGGGACCCAAAAACACAGTGCCTGGCTAGCCAGGGTGCCAGGCTGGGGATCCTGGGGACAACCTGATGTCTCTCGATTGTGATAGTTTGGCCTTTATTGACTCTGTTGCAGGAACCAGGTGAGAGTGGTCCATATCCATATAGCTTATCTTCTATTCTCTCCTATAAGTAAGAAGGGCATCTCGTGATTCAATCATTGCCACAAATCTCGAGTCTCGACCACAGTTGCTCAGAGATATGAAGAAGATGATGCAGAGGGATTCTGAGTCCATGGGAGGGGTTAAGAAGAAGGTGTTGTCTAATAAGAGTGTTGGAGTGTATTTTAAAGAGCAAAAAGGTAGGCTGTTTATAATTACAAGATGCATTGTTATGCTCATCTGCTGGCAGGACTAGAGATAGAGAGACAATTATATGTTCTGACTTGTGTGTTTTCTTCACTGTAAATATCAGAGAGCTCAAATGAGAATTGAGTTTTGTTTTATTATTATTACGGAGTATTATTTTTACATTTGTCGCTGTTCATCTGTTCTTTCCCCTTTACCCTTTTCAGAGTGGTTTAAATATTTCGTTAAACAAGATTGATTGGAGGTTTGCTCATCAAATGTTTGGATCCATAGTAGGGGCCAGGGGGAGTAATGGAGCAACAATTCGAGTAGAGCAGTTTCAACAGTTTTAGCAATTACGGAGGGATGGTGTTGGTAGTGAAATCATAAATTTATTTTATGATGGATATGTGTTACACAAAAATGTTGGAGGGGAAATATTATAATAATGTAACATACAAGAATTCGATGAAGTGATGAAACAATATTTTAAAATATTGTAATTAAACACATCAATTTGTTAGGTTGGTACAATTAAATCAAATAGTCAATTATTTAATGGTAACTAATATTGTATGGAGTAATCAATCTCTAGGTCAGTTATCTCATTCAATGGAAGTACTTACTGATGGATATATTGAAAATGACCCAATAATAATAGGGACTCGGGGTTCGAAAATGTATAACCCGAGTAGTCCAAGAAGAGTCTCAAGTCCGGAGACTATATTTGGGCCCAGAATGGTGGGCTTCAACTTAGTCTTGTGGCCCATCGTATGAGGCTGATTTAGTCTCATGGCCCACCACGAATTTAGCCTAAGTGGTTGTGATTCAGTTGTTATATCATAGACCGCGGTGCATAATCGATTATGCACCGCGGCCCAGATACGGCGCCGTTTCATTAATTAGATGAAACGGCGCCCTTTAACGCCGTCGATTACCTTTCAGCGCATCGTTTCCCTTTTCTTTCTTTTATTATTATTATTATTATTATTATTATTATTATTATTATTATTATTATTATTAATTAATTTTAAAATATAAAAACGAAAAAGGGAAGTCTTGTCTCCATTTTCTTCCCAAACAAGCCACACTTACCATCGGCACGTTCTCCTAGCTAGAACTTCAATCGTCATTTTTTACCTCTCGTCTCTATCGTTGTTCTTCTTCGTTTTTCTGCAGATTTCAGTTCGTAACTTCAACAAGAAGGTAATAATACTGTTGTATATAATGCGACGTTCTATTTACCTACAAAAAAAAATATGTTCTACAGTACATTTTAGGTTTTTTTTTTTCAGACATTCCGAAAGCAAACATTCATGTTTTGCATCACAAACATGCATTGAGAAACACATGCAGTCAAAAAAACTAAAATATTATTGTAAACGCTAAATAAGAAACACATGTTTGTCTTTTTCATATAATGTGGTCCCAGATATTTGTGTATAAAATAAAACTGCAAAGTGTGTTTAATAATACGGATTGTGTGGTCCCATATATTCCATATGAAACTACTAGATCCAAATGAAACTCTATTTCTTCTTAAATTAAACTGTAGTTATCCTCAACTGAAAGTGTAATGCATTTCAACTGAAAGTGTAATGCATTTCAACTGAAAGTGTATTGTATATGAACTGAAAGTGCTTATATGTGTCGCGTTTTGTTTTAAAAAATGTTCACACTTTAATATTATTTCAACTGAAAGCGTAGTGTATAAGAACTGAAAGTGTAATGCATTTCAACTGAAAGTGTATAGTATATGAACTGAAAGTGCTTATATGGGTGTCGCATTTTGTTTTAAAAAATGTTCATTGACACTATAATATTACTTCAACTGAAAGCGTAGTGTATAAGAACTGAAAGTGTAATGCATTTCAACTGAAAGTGTATTGTATATGAACTGAAAGTGCTTATATGTGTGTCACATTTTGTTTTAAAAAATGTTCACTAACACTATAATATTATTTCAACTGAAAGCGTAGTGTATAAGAACTGAAAGTGTAATGCATTTCAACTGAAAGTGTATTGTATATGAACTGAAAGTGCTTATATGTGTGTTGCATTTCGTTTTAAAAAATGTTCATCATTAATACTTATGATATTGTTGTACACCATACCTATACAAATGAAGAAAGCCACGAGAAAAAAAAAAAAAACCAAGGCCGTCTTGGACTCACAAGCAGCCAAACCAACGCCACCAGCTCAACCAGCACCTGCTGCAGAAAAAACAGCAAAGAAGAGTAAAGCCACAAAACAACCTGCAAATAAACCACCAATACCTGAAAATGAACCAACAATTCCATCTGAACCAGAACCAACTGTGCAAGAAGAAAAGGGACATGAAAAAGGAGCAGCTGAAAATGAACCAGAACCAACTGTTCCGGGAGAAGAGGGACAGAAAAAAAAGAGCACTCAAACGCAAAGCAACAGCAAAATCACCAAAGAAAGCTAAAGCCGCCAAACAATCTGCTCCTGACGCAAACCCAACTGCACCAAAACCAGCTGCTCAAGGATCAAAAGACCAGGGACCAGCATCGCCCAAACGCAAAGCAACAACAAGCCCCCTTGCTGATAAGAAAATGCACAAGAGGATAAAGAAATCTGCAAAGAAGAGTGAAATAAGTAAAATGCAATATCTACAAACCAGGATGTCACCATAGTATTTTCGGACCCTCATTTCATCTCTATCACCAGATCAACGCAAAGCAGTTGCAGATATTGGGTTTGCTGATATGTTAAACTTGACAATATTTGACTGGGATAGCAGGCTAACTAGGTATCTTGTTGAAAGGTTTGATGTCTATGAATGCATACTGATGTTGGAAAATAATGACATGCAACTGTCAGAGGATGATGTACACAGCACAATGAACCTTCCCCAAGGAAAAATTCCTGTGATTGAGGCTCCCTCTGAGAATGAATCTGGTGAATATAAAAAACTGTTGGCAGCTTGGAGACAGAGGTGGGGAATAACAAAAGGTTCTCCGGTGACAAATACAATGCCAACTGCCATTATTGAGAGAGGAGACAGTGGAGATATGTTCAAAAGAGACTTCGTTGTGCTGCTTGTATCCAGCTTGATAAAAGGCAACCAGAGCACAAAAGCAACATACAAGATTTTATACTCCATGCTTGATGTTTCAAAGCTGAAGGACTTGAATTGGTGTCAATACACATTCAGATCTTTGGTAACTTCTGTTCAACCTTGGAAGAATAACAAAGAAAGCTTTTTCACTGGTCCTTCACTGTTCTTGTTGGTAATATTTTCATATGCACTTATAATAATTTTCTCATTAATCTATACGCTACTACAATTACTGATAAAATAATTGCTAATTATAGTTTTTATTCTTTCAAAAACAGTTAACATACATTGACAGAGTACAATACAAGGGTGAGAAGATTCAAAGGGATTACCCTGCAATAACTACTTGGACTGAAGAAGCAGTTAAACAAAGAATCAAAGCAGAAATATTGTCTGGAAGATTTGGACGGGGAAAAGTACTTGACAGATTTCAAAGGCAAGAACGTTTGACCAGAGAAGAAAACATACCTGAGATGAGCGGTGGTCCTGTGGAAGGCAGTCAATCAAATGAATCACTGGGAAGGATTACATCTGTACTGAATAGGATGGCTGACACGGTTGTTGAGTTTGCTGGTGTGATGGCTGATATAGGAAACACACGGACTGGAGGAGAAATAATTAAGATCACTTTCGGGAACATTGCTGACATGATTACTTCAGTCTCTTCTTCACAACCAGAACGAGATGAGACTTTATTGTATGATGATGAGCTTTACAATCATCGAAGTTTCCTTGATGCAGTCAATGCCCTTGAACAAGCATTCTACCAAACAACCAAAGACTACCCAACTCAAGCTCCTGCTAGATCACAAACACCACATCCGCTTCAAACACCAAGTTTTGATCTTGGAATTAGCCCTAGACAATCATCACAGCCTCAACATATCCCTGAAAAAATGAATGATAAGCAAGCACAAAATGCTACTGAAATCCAGAACATTGCACGTGATATTCAAGAGGACAGTGAGAGGACAGACTCTGATGAACCACAATTGGAAACCCCACCACCTGAAACTGAAAACAATATGTTTGATAGGTATGCTCCAACCTATTATATCTACATTGCTTCCACACATTTTCAATTGAAATGTAATCTTTAATAAATGAAACTGTAATATTTATGAAGTGACACTATATTGTATGCAAACAGACACTGATCAGCATGCCTGACATATATATATATATATATATATATATATATATATATATATATATATATATATATATATATATATATATATATATATATATATATATATATATATATATATATATATATATTTGTTGTATTTTATGAACTGAAACTGTAGTTATAATTAACTGAAACTGTAGATATAGATAACTGAAACTGTAGTGTTTATCAAGTGATACTGCATTATGTGAACTGTATCTCTATGTGCTAATACATGCATGATCCTCCCTAAAACTGCAGTTTGATTGCTGAGCCTGACATTGATGATAACAATGAGGATGTTATAATTGATAAGACCAGGAGAATCAGAAACCTGCCGTTGCGCCTAAGGTCCCCATACTGGACAACAAATGTTGAAAAACTGAAGAATGTCGGTCCAAAGGAAAAGTTGATTTCAGACTATGTTTTTCTTGACCCAACAGAAGAACAACCATTAAGGTATAAAACACACTTAACACACACTCTATTATACAATTTTGAATGCTGACTACTTTATTTATATACATTTTCAAATATGACAACGAACCATTGTTTGGCCATGAGGGATACTACATCAATAGAGAGCAATTCCAAACCTTAAGAAGTGCTGAGATTGAGAGTATATTCTTAGATGTTTGGTGTCTAAGACTGAATATGTTGGATCCAAGCCGTGAGATTGATAAACCAAAGAGAACATTCTTCACGACACAATCTTTCATAAGCAAACACCATTACTATTTTTACATTATGCATATTTACTTATGAATAACATCCTCTAATGTAAAATGTATACTCTACAGCTCCAACTTGACAGTCCAACAGATTGGGCACCGCAACACCAATCACATAGACAAGATGACTTTGAGCAGTGTCTAACCACTGAAATAAAGAACATGGGGAATGTTGATATTAGTGATGCAAAATTGGTAATCATTTCTTTTTCAAATATTATATTTACAGTTAAACATACTACTAATGTTTTTTATTTTTTTTTCTTTAAAAAAACATTAAAAAATCAATACAGGTGTTTTTTCCCATTTACCGGCATCATCACTTCTTTGTCGTGTGCTTCAATTTCATTACATCAAAGCTTGAAATCATTGACAACCTGCCACTCCTCAAAAGTCTGAAAATTCCAGCAAGTATGGTGAATGTCCACAGTTGCTTGTAAGTTATCTAATTACTTACTTCAGTATTCAAAACCAATGCACCTATAATGCATA